AATGAGGAGGTTGCGGGTCATTTCTCACTGAGGCTTTACAGTCTGTAGAGCACGAAAAAACCCTCAGTGATAGCCTCGCGCAAAGTGCAGCATCTGAAATTGAAAAGTGAGGTCGTCGGTGTGAGCTACAGTCATGGTCCTTGCAAATGACTGGGTGTAAGGCAACGGCGTGAGATGGATCGCAGCCAGAATGGTCCACCCATCCAATCGTTGCAGACTCAGGATGGAATCATTGATGGAGAGGCCGCCTTGGCAGCACTGCCATACACACCCCGGTCCATACGCCCTATCTTTTCCATGGATCATGACTATATAACCTTCATGACTCATGTTCTCTGACAGCCGGGATGCGAACATCTGCGCGTAGGTGAGTTGAATCCAGACCAAAAAATCAAACCTTTTATCCCTTTCAGCTCAGTTACCACCGGACTGGTTCTATATATTGAATACACTGCTCTTAACGTCTATTTATGACGACACCAAATATGGAAATTTTTAATCGTCACTGAAATCAAAATGGAAATCTGATGCAGGACGCTTCTACGAAGAATACGTCAGCGATCGCGAAAATCTGACTGGAAAATGAGTAATAGAAGGAGCGCAAGAAGTCTACCGACTGCTAGCCGTTTTTAGTTCGGACGATCATCATTTCATAGGGGGGGGGGGGAGAGTTTCTATTCTGCTATGTATAGGAGTGAGGTGTATGCCACGAGCTTCTACTTTGGTATTCTTTTGATTGTTCTGAAAGTGGTCCGAAAATAAAGCACATGGGAATGGTGAAACCTTCCTCACCAATCCATTAGTTTCATGAGACATTTGGATACCTTCTTCTTGTCGCACGGAAATTGTGAGTGGGAGGCGCCTCGTCACCGCAACGCTCTTTGATTTTCACGTGATGGATGGGTCACAAACCTCCTAATATGGCCACCTGTCCCAGCATCAGCTCCTTTGGACTGTTGACATACTGTTCGGTGTCGACCACACCTTTTCGCATTGTGTCCGTCACTGACCAACCTGAAATTAAACTTCCATCACTGCACATTTTCTGAAACTTATAATAGATACACAAAACCTATAATAGATACATTATACATCCAGGACACGTCGTACGTTAGGGATTCCCCAGCGGGGGTCGTATTTGATGGTCGCTGGGGGACGGGGTGTACTTGGTCTAAGAAAATTCTCTTTGATAGATTTTCCTTGTTCCAGGGACGCTGTTAGGGAAGTCGTAGTCCCCGAACGTTTTTCCCAGCGGCAGGAGATGCCCTGATAGCACCACAAGGTGAGGGGGAGTGCTCAGGAGGCGCGGAATGAGCCCATCCTCTACTCACGAATTGAAACGTCTTTACTGAAATGTTGAAGAAATTGCGAATGTTTGTTGAAAGTGACAACCGTTTTTCCATTTTCAGGCTTCCCTGTCTTTTAATGGCGTCTAAGTGTGTATTCATTTATTTGGACATTTTTTTGTGTGGTTTTATAAATAAGCAAACCGACAGAGAACGCTATGTCTGGCTGTGAGTACTGGTCAAGGCCAAGGAAATCATGACTCCTCTGATAACTGTTAAGGGTAAGTGGGAACGGGTTCTGAGCCAGAGGGCTCCAATCACACTGCTCAGAGAAACCGTTTTTTCATTATTTTTTTGACTTGCTAGGGCAGGGCTATTCTTGCAAGGTAGCATGACTAAATCGAGTCAGCGTAGGGGCCACGGGGTTCTCCTTAAATAAGTCTAAAGGTAACGGAGGGGGGGGGGTCGATATAGACGATAAGAAGATGTTAGAACCTGCGAACTGCCATGAAAATGCGGTACCAGTTCTTGTTCTAATACCGTTTACAAGATTCACGAAAGTCACTCACCTACTAATACTGCTCCAAGTGTTTCAAATATACTGGCCATTATATAGGCCTGTATTATTGTCAGCACTCCACTGCCTACAGAAGTACCGAAAGCATTTGCCACATCATTGCCACCCATTCCAGCGCCAAGAAGAAACGCCAGAATTACACCAACGATCAGCGCCCATAGCATGGAGTGCTGAAAGTAATAAAAGCTGATGGGTTCAGCCTTCATATTCCTAAGAATTATTTGGTTACTTGGGATAAAAGGGGGTAAATATAAGGGGTAGCTGTGCGAGTAAAATGATACAAAAGATTACATTTCAAGCTAGAATCTATGAGACAGCTACATTTTTGGGAAAATCCACTTCGTTCCAAAGTTCGTTTGCAGGGCGTGGTCTTATTCACCTCTCTCTTGGTAACTCGGTATGCTGGTTTGTAGGTCCGTGCCCCAAACAGGGCACGTTGTACATTGGGGATTCCCAGCGACGGTGGCCCTATTTGGCCCAAGAATTTTTTCTAATTGTTGTTGTTTCTTGTCGCACGAGCTCGCATACGTCACCCCCGTAGATGGGACTGCCGCGAAATCATTTCTGATCGTTTATAGAAGGCATGTAGCCTCGCTGTAGGTATCTACTCCCCTCCCTCGCTCAACGGCAGCTTTTTGGGAGAGTTTCGTGAGCTAAGTATGATAAGTTGGACGCTGTGGAAGGGGGCAGTACCGGAGAACAGTTAGCTGGGAAGGGGGTCGTAGATAACAAAAATTGTCCCCCACGTCTGAACGTGCCCTGAAAAACTGGAAGATTTCTGAAAGGAAGTCCGGATCAGTGGTTGAAAGCTGGGAGGATTTACGAAGATGGCGTGTGGATAGGATAGGGATGGAAAAGAGAGATCGTACCATAGGAAAAGGTTTCAGGAAGGGGGTCGTTATTGCGAAATTTTCAGTCCCAAGCGTAGGATGTGCTCTGCCTCTAATCGCGGGCGCTTTGCAGCAGATTTCTACTGTGAGGGATAAAACAATTGTAGGTGCAGTCAGTGGCTTTGTAACCTTCGCAAAACTAACCACTTCGTTTCAAGGTTTCTACCGCAAGTTGTTAATCGCTCTCAATGCGATCAACCTAAGACTAACCAATAATCGCCAGTAAAGGCAAGGCAGACCGCAGCGAAGTCTCACTCGACCCGCTCTGCCCTGCTCGGCCCCGAGCTGAATCGCGACGCTTACCAATTCTACAATCAACCGAAGTTTTTGTAGCTATCAAGTCATTACGAAAGCTGAAACAAGGGGGAAGGAAACAGCAGGTGCAAGCATCATAACGTAAGTCGCGCGTGACTTTCCCAAGGGTTTCCATAACCTGTAGTGAATAGCCTACTCTTCGCCTAATGTCTTCTTTCACACAACTCATATTTCTGAAAAGTATGCTGCGCTAGTAAATGCAACCAGGCGTGATCACCCCGTTGCCATTGAATTCCAACACGACAGGAGAACGTCCCTTGGAAAGACGCGTTTACAACATAACGATATTCTATGCGGTTCACTTCCCTGTTCTCTCTTTCGAGACAGGATTAAGTTGGCACAATGCGACAATACAAGTGAGCATCGCAAACAAAGAAGCACGTGGCGTATTATCAAGGAGAAGAAAAGGGAAACGGAGAGAAAGACTCTAAACAATTCTTCTCTAGTTTCTTTGATTAGATTATTGCTTTGGAAGCTAAATGTAGTACCTGATCGAACGTCGCCACCGCTTGCGTTGTTGTTGTGATTAGATCCATCTCCTGCAATGCGACAACATAAGCAGAGTAATTCCCTTGTTAAACCAATTTTTCGCTCGATCAACGCAAAAGGTTACCGGTCATTGACCACAAAAGCGAGAGAACTTCTATGTTTAGAAAGAACACCGATCAGACAGCAGTAGCTTGGTAGCCACAATCTTTAGCTCATCTCAATCTTTCAAATCGAGCGAAGTAAAAAGCAAACAAATACTGGCCTAGTAAAAAAGAAGACAAGATAGTATTTATCAGTCAAATGAAGATGAAGTTTAGTTGTTGGTCAATCCCTTTTTGGATCGCGCATTCTAATTCCAGCCAAGATTGCAGTGAAATTCCGGACGAGATTTGCCTTATTCGGTGATGTATGAGCAGACACGCCCTACGGGCAAAGGAGGTCGCATTTGGTTGCTAGACGAAGGAGGTCGCAATTGCCTATGCGAAAAATGTTCTCGATTGTTGACCTTTCCCCGCTTTTTCTTTTTCAGGTGAGAGTGGAATTCCGCAACCGTGCTCCGCCTTTCCGCTAGAAACTGTAGTTTTTAGGAAAAAAGTGGAGGACTTCTGAAAAAAAATCTTTCGGAAAATGGTGGGTACTGAAAAATTTTGAAGGGTGGTAGGTAGGAAAGGGGAATGAGGGTTCGTCACGTGGGAGAGAGTTCTGAGGGTTGTCATTTTGCAAAACATTCTCGCCACGGCAGATGCGTGGCTCTTGACAGCCACGGGAAGGCGACGATGAAAATGTCACCTGTTTTCGCTGGTAGGACCAAAGAATGTCATGGTGTGGGCACCAGCAGTAAGAAAAGCTTCGGCTGGCAACGAGCCAAGATCAGGCTCACCGGGTTTGAAGCTGGAACCGTACGCCATCGGGTGAGCGGCGGCACTTGGCACTACACTGCGATTGTTTTTAAAGAATAAACTCTGCAAATGGCAGGCGAATAAGCAGAAGTAGAAGATTAATATCTATTTCCTACTTTCGTGTAAAGGTAAGCTATCATCATCAGAGGAGTAGAAAGCACAGAAAAGAGCTGTTCACATTGGTTTTTCTGCCCGAATGCTGGAAAGGAAGAGTGTCTCGGTGTTCGCTTGATTTAGTCCGTGCACTGCCCTTTAGTTTTAATTCAGCATATTAAAAACGTTCGAACGCGCATTCGGCCCACGCAGCGCTTACACATGGCACGCACTGGGGCTTTATCGGGCGAAAGCTGATTTGAATACGTATTTCCAATGAGTCATGCCTGATTTGATCTCATGTTTCATGAAGGTGAGATGAGAGGGGTGCTGATGGGTTCAGGGTTCTGAGAATGTGGATTGGGAAAAGAGAAAGGGAGCCTGAAAACAGGTGACCATACCTCCTACAGCAGCAGTTCAAGTGCAGACGAAAATCTCAGTAGTTCCTTGTAACTCCGGCCTGGCCCTTTTATGAGCAAATTTCGATAAGAAGTGTTTAATTACATAAATGTACTTTTGTGTATTGAAATAGCACTTGTCTATAAAATGAGAAGAATGCTTTCGTTCGTACCAGGTGAGGGACGTGCCCAATGAGTGCATGTAGGTGAAGCAGCCAAATGGCGTCAACACGTACAGTGAGTTGATTGATGAGCCTGACAAGGACACAATTGTTTCACCTCTTTGGAATGTTGGATGGAAACCTAGGTACATTCGGAATAGCTCGAACGCTGATTGTGAGGCTAAAGTGCTCCGGGAATCTCCCAAACGGGTTCTGGGTAATCGAAATTTGTTGTAGGTGCAATATTCGAATATGCGCGGTGCAAGAGGGTAAAGGATCCGTGAGCAGCCTTCTACTCATGCCATTGCCGCACTCTCTGCAATTTCTGTTGAAAAAGGTATCTGGAAATGGCTGAACAATACTTTTGGAAATTTGAGTGGAAATCAGTTCAGCGGGAAGCTATGTCTAGCAACCGCAATAGAAACCGTCAATCCTACTTATTAGCTGCTACAAGAATAAACCAGTGCAGTAGCTATTGCTGGCAACTCAAGATAGGTGAAACGAATCATCTGCCGTGAGACGATCAGGAGAGGAGCACGCACTTCTTCCTGGCAACATGTTGCCTTGCTGAAATACGTTGCAGAAAGAAATGGTGCTGGTTTGGAAACAAATGGTCATCGTTGTTGCTTTCTGCTTAGTCAATGATGCTCATTACAAAGTACAACTGGTTCCATGGAGCGGGAACATCTTTGGGCGCGGAGAGTGGGAATTTTCACGATGCACTAAAACCGGTGGAGGAGTGAGCAAAAGCACACTGTGTGAAAGGCTCATCAACAGCAGCCACTGAAGTGCACTTGTCAAAGCTATGATTTACAGAATCACCATAACTCTGGTAACCTTGAAGGCAGTGAGCACGATAGCTGTGGGCGGGCGATTGTCGCCAACGTAATTGGAAGAAGGGATGAGCGGGGTGTGGCCTAACGCCCTCTCGCACTAATGACGTTGTCAACAACGCCAGCACAGCAGCAATGTGCCCACTGACATCAAGGTGCGAACAATGTTTGGAGAAGTGTTTGAACTTCTCAGCCTCTGGCGCATACCCTGTCTCCCAAGTTCTGCTGAGGACCCTTGATCTTGTGATGCATCAAGCTCGCACCCAAATAAGGTCGAAACTCTCTGCAGACCTCCCTTCTCCCCAAAGGAAGAGGGGGGGGTTAGGGAAGGCATGGGGCGCTTTTCGTAGATTTTCTAGTACAGGTGGGGAACGACACGAAACGATATTGTACACTCCTCATCATTACGGACTGTCGGGGCGTATCAGCCAGTAGGAGTGCGCACACTGTTTGAAGCCGTTCTCAGCCTTTTCTTTGAAACGCGTATGCGACAAAAAGTGGTAGAAAACGAGTAATACGAAGGATATAATGCTGTTATGTCATTTGATCGCTTCAACAACTGGTGCAGAAAGACTTTGGAACCGCGGAAAACGCAGCCGCACTGACCCGCCCCGGACAGTCCGTATGAGAGGATTGTACTCTGCGACATGACAGTTTTCAGTGGTTACGTAGCGGTTCAGTCTTTGCCAACAGGACAAAATAGTCCTCGATCATCTAGGAAGTCGGAGAAAGGGCTGAAAAACGAACCAAAGTGTCCATCGGACAATTTTCTGCTGTACGTCTGGCGCTGGATGTCTTTCACGGTTCCACAAGGAATTTGTTCTTCTGAGGTTATAGTATCTAGAAATGACCGAAAACCAAGAAAAGTTGTTTATTGAAGCATTTCAACTTCCTTGCAATTTACGGCCATTGGCATTGTGGCAGAGTGTAAACACGGTGAGAGACACACCGTATCCATGAACGATTGGGAGATCGTACTTCATCCAAATCAACCGAGTCTCCCTTTTCCCATCCCAAGTCTGCA